TGCATTTCCCCCCTCGCCAATAAAAGCTATCTCTCACGTCGAATCCTGCTTTCAACAAAAAAAACTGATGTAGCAAGCAATCACCTTTATTTCGTATATTAAGCTACATCAAAGAATTCGACATCATCCGATGCTTACTAAAGTAAAAACTCTACCGCAAGGGCATTTGCCCAGTTTGATACTCATAAATTACCTGGGAGCTTATTTTCACAGACGGTTCCAGATATGGTGGTAACAAAAGGGCTGGGTGTTACAATTGTCTTCAGTGCTTTTCCCCCGTACTGCTCGGCATTTACAGCCGGATCAGCTGTACGTTTCGCCTCTATAAACGAAGGAAATTTCCTCATCTGAACGGACAGTAAACCAGCCAGCGAATCCTCTTTTAACAGTGCTAATGATTCTCATATAATTTCGAAATCACGTGAAATACTCTTTTGACACAAAAACACATTAAACGCATTAAAATCTTAGTTTAACATAGTATTTACGTCTAAAGAACTGACATTTTCATTATTCTGCAAAACCCTCTATCAGCAAATTTTTCTATATAAATAGTTATAATTCGAATTGCAAAATAACCTCTATCTGATCTTTAAACTAAAATTAAATGAATTAAAAGTAAAAAACTAGTTTTAGTATATTGCGTGAATATTTAAGACATGCGTGTGTACTTAAAATTATTAACACTTTTAAAAACAGCTGCCAAAACAGTTTTTTTGCTCTCCTGAAAAATTGAGTTTTTGCAGATAGAGGGTATTGAATATAAGCCCTCGATATGTTTCTAAAAATTAAATTAAATATAACATTCAAATTTTTTCAAATTATGGTTGCTTTTCCACAAATAATTTTCATTAAAAAAAAAACCGCCTCGAGCTCAATAAAAATTGTTGAATATAATTAAATACTAGAAGACCCGGCGAACTTCGTCCCGCCCAAAATTTTTATATATTTTATTGAAACTTTTTGGTCCAACATTTTCACCAACAATTGTCTGCTAAGCACATTTGTCTGCTAAGATTAAGGTTTGGTGGTCATTTGCCGCTTTAAATAACCTAAGGAAAGTGTTATATCCGTGAAGAAGTTCTTAAAATTCTCCAGTTGTGCGGAATTTCATAGCACGGTTATTCGCAAAGCGAAATAAATTTTTTCCTCTTCACTCCCTGCCGGCAACAATGATCCGTTTCTATAGTGAATGTCCTAGAAACTTTACAGTATAGTAGGTGGCAATATCAAAATTAGTGCGAATCATTGTTCTGCAGAAATGCAATATACATATACTTATTTTAGACGAAATACCTTGAAAGTTTGAACGTATAATAATATTGGAAAATCACATCGATTGGGCCAATTGCAACGCAGGAGCGTTCGATATACTCAATGGTGCAACAGGTCGATTTAAACTGACCTTCACGGCCCCTTTTCTCACTTGGCTATTTTAGTAATAGCTCGACTTCAGCACCACTTGGCAGCACGTTTTTGCAATAGTATTGCATACATATTTAAAACATTAGCCAAATCGGATCATAAATAAGATTTTTAGTAATAACTCAAATACAGCGCCAACTGTCGGATTAAATTGTGAAACTAAACCATCCAGAGACCCACTCAAATACACAAAAAGTTTCGTTAAAATCCGTACAACCATCTAGGAGTATTTCACTCACAAACACATCTACAGAAGAATAAAAAAATTCATTCGAAGATAGCTAAAGGTCGGTACGTTTGTAGGCCTCACACCCCTTTTCAAATAGCCCAAATTTTTTCCATGAGATTGGGCTTGATTTCAACTATATACATATCTCGATACGAAGTTCCAGTACTGTACCATGAATACTTTCAGAGATATGCAGTATAAAAATTCGATTTATATGGGAGGTACCACGCCCCCCTTTCCAACAGCTGCGCCCTTTCTTCATGAGTATGCGATTGATTTCGTATATCTCCATACCAAGTTCCAGAACTCTACCAAGAACACTTCTAAAGATAGGCAGTATGAAAAATTCGGTTTGTATGGAAGATGCCACGCCCCCTCTTCCAATACTTCCAATTTTTCTCAAAGAGTATGCGATTTATTTCGTACATCTCCATACAAACCTCTAGAACTCTACCTAAAAATTTCCAGAGATAAGCAGTATGAAATATTCGGTTCGTATGGGAGATGTCACACCCCTTTTTACAATAGCTAAAATTTTACTCCAAGGGTATGCGATTGATTTCGTATATCTCCATACCAATTTCCAAAACTCTACCATGCACACTTTCAGAGATATGTAGCATGAGAAATTCGGTTTGCTTGGGAAGTGCCACTCCTCCTTTACATATAGATTTTTTTTAGCCTAAAACCATCCTTGGGACACGTGCGGCAGGTGGCAGTTTCAAAAAAATCGGTTCAGCCGCCCTCGAGCCTTGCGAAAACTAACAAACGGCTTTCTAAATATATATTAGTTGAGATATATTATATATTATAATTATATTTTGACAATATCCGTTGTTTCTGATTGGCGCAAAAAAATCTTGCCTAGTGCCGAATTCGCCCCTTGATATGGTCGTTACTTAAAGCTATTTATATTCGAAATTGCATGAAAATTGGAAAACAGGAATCAATAAGCTTATCCAGGCAAAAAGGTACCTACGTACCGAATTTGAAGCAGATCGGACCATAAATACGATTACTTCGAACAGATCGGTCCGTGGTCCACTTCTCGGACAAAATAGATCATATATGCTAATATATACTAAAAAGCTACCTACGTACCGAATTTTAAGCAAATCGGACCGTAAATACGATTTTTTCGAATAGATCAGTCCCTGGTCCACTTCTCGGAAAAATGGACCATATATCCTAATATATGCTAAAAAACTACTTACGTACCGAATTTTAAGCAAATCGGACCATAAATGCGATTTTTTGGAATAGATCGGTCCCTGGTCCACTTCTCCGAAAAAATTGATCATATATGCTTATACATGCTAAAAGGCTACCAGCGCCGAATTTTAAGCAAATCGGACCGTAAATTCGATTTTTTCGAATAGATCGGTCCCTGGACCACTTCCCGGTAAAAATGGGTCATATATGCTAATATATGCTAAAAAGCTATTTACGTACTAAATTTTAAGCAAATCGGATCATAATAAGATTTTTTCGAATAGACCGGTCCCTGGTCCACCTACCCGAAAAAAGTAAAATTTCTTTAGCCTAAAACATGGTGGTTACCGAAAGCTATTTGTATACAAAATTTCATGAAAATCGGACCAGCCGTTCGCGAGATTACCTGTTACAAAAAAAAAGGGACTTCTCTTTATATAATTAGTATAGATAATATAAAAATTAAATTTAGAAAGAAAAAATAAAACGAACTAAATAGAATAAGAAGAAGAAAAAGAAGAAAATAAAAAAAGAAACCAAATAAAATATTATTATTTTTGAAATAATAACATATTAATTAGGAAATAAAAAGGGGGAAAAATACATAAAAGCAGTTTCTAAAAATTAAAGCAAACCATAACAAATATATTTTTTGGTTCTAAAGCAATAAAATCGTAAAATGAAAAGAGAATTAAATAAAAAAAATATAAAAAAATGTCCTTAAAAAAAAAGAAAAAAATCCGCTGCCCGAGCACTCGAACTCGAATCTTTCGAATGGCATGCCTGTGCTTTGCTCACTTGGTAAATGATATACAAGTGCTTTCTATCAAACTATCTTTTCACCACGAATGCTGTATGGGAGAACTTTTTTTCTAACTGCCATCGCTAAATTGGCGCGTCAAGCGCCAAGGAACCGGTCTGAACCGTCCATACAATTTGTATGAAGCATCTTACAACAATGCAGAATGCAGAAGACGGAGAAAGAAAGAGAGAGGACATAAAAGTGAAGGAAGACTAAACAAGTTTGGAAAACGCAACGCTTGGCGCTCCTATTTAGGAACGGCAGTAAGAATTTTATGCTAGGATAACAAAGGTCTTTCGAATTTTCTTGCCATATGTCTTTAATTTGTCTTACGTAAG